AGGGTAGGAGGGGACGGAATACCGTGGCCTGAAGACTTTCAGAGAAGTCTCTAATCCTGTCTGAGGCTGTTTCCCTTGTACATGGGATGGGGATGAGCCATAGTAGGCTGTAGCAATGGTAACTTTAGACAACCCTTCCCCGTAAACATACACATATGGCTGCTGTGCTATCATCTCCTTAGGAGTCTGAAGAATTCAAGTGAACTTGGGCAAATCTCTGACTCACTCTGGGTCTTGATTTTTCCCATCTCTGAAGTAGGTACTATCACCCATTTCCTTTTGCCTGAGTTTTGGTAGGTGTTAGTTAAGAGGGTTACAGTTCGTTGGCCTCAGGGTAGATAATAAAAGGGACTTGTAAGCTGGAGAAAGCTACCAGGCTACATCTCAGAGAGGGGAGCTGGGATGAAGGAGGCCCCTGTTGGTTGGACGGGTGGCTTGCTAACAGACAGTGGTCTCTTACCAATGGAGAATGGCACAAAAGCATCATTCTTCTTAAACTGCCCTTTCTCATCTAGGAAATGCTGAGGGTTGAAATCTCCAGGGTTGGAGAAGAACTTGGGGTCTCTTAGCACGGAGCCCAGCATAGGAAACACTTCAGTACCCTGGTGGGGAGGAGAAGGGATTGACAAGGTGAAGGGGGAATGGGTATTCAGAGAGTATATGGAGTCAGAGGGGGAATGTGGGTGCCCTGGGTAAGGAGAAATGGGAGCCAGGGTCCTCTCTGAGGGAGGAGCTTTGAGAGATGTGACATTTCTGTCCCTGAGACAGGAATTTTTGGAGTATGGGGTCTGTGTCTCCTGAAGCAGAAGCTTTGGGGTACGTGCAGTTCATGTCTCTCAAGGCAGGATGTTTGGGGACATGGGGTTCATATTCCCTGAGGTCCTGGGGAGATACAGGATTCAGGTGTCTCTGAGTGGGAAGGTTGAAGGGACATGTGATTGGGGAAGTCTTTGATTGAGGAAGGGGGACAAGGGCTGGGAAGCTTCTAAGGAGGATGGGGTGCTGGGT